CTTAAATCACCCTGCATGAATAGTCTCTCTGTGGCTGCACCACAGAGATGAACAGAGAAATGGGGCCTCATTTGGGAAGGCTCAGAACACTTAATTCTTTCTTATTAATAAACCTCACCACTACAGCGTGTTCCTGACTAAATTAGACATTACGTGACACATAAAAAATGGGTTTAGACAGTTAAAAACACTTTTTATGCATGAAAAACGGGTGATTTTTCTTCCTCATGAACAGTTTAGAATCTTTGTGTAAGCTGAACGATTTTTGTTTACTTTTTAATTATACATTTAAAACACTTTAATTTTGTAAACACAACGCGCATTTTGTGCACAAAAAAATACATTCTCCCCTTTCCCCATGGTGTGAAGCAGATAAGAAGTTTTGGTAACTTTTACGTTTAATAATAAAATAATGAATAATAATGAATGAACCTCCAGACCATCTCCAGGATACTCGGAAAGGAGGGATTGTTTTGTGCCAGCCAGCTAGAACATTATCACCTATCAGTAGGTGAAGGGAAGTGGGCTGTAATTTCATTCTCCATCAATACATATTCCCAATAGTCACTGATGCAGCTTTAAATTCCTGGTTTTAAGAAAATTATGTGATTTGTCTTGTGGAGCCCATATTTTTTTCTTGGTTCAAGCATGCTGCACTTGGGGTTGTTTTAGTTTGTAGTCGTCCTTTGTATTATGGGTATTATGGTACTACAGTTTGTATTATGGGTAATCGTGTTGTCCATCATGGATTTCTCTTTAGAGGATTTTACTCTGTGCCTGACTTTGGAGCAGTCATTCATTATTAATATGATTAATAATACATTCCATATTCTATTTAAATTGGATTGTTTTTACAAATATAAAAAGAGGCAGTACACAACATGTCTCCTCTATAACTCTTCAGTTTACAGAAAAAAATCCACAGAGCCACACAATATTGTCACAACTTTGTACGATAAGCTCTGCTCCGGTTACTGGCAATTGTAAAACTAACCCTTTTTCCCTCCCCTTGTTTAACTTTAAGAATTCCATGAAACCATCAGTTATAATAATTCATTCAGATACACATACCCACACTGGAGTCAATTTTCACAGAAACAACCTCCCAGTAAGTCTTTGGACTGTGCAGTAGTGTACAGTATAATATACATTTTAAAGTTTTAAATTTAAAGTTAAATAGTTGGCTGATTACTGGCTGCTGAAATTTGAATTAAGACATAATATAGATTTTCTCAATTCAGATGTAAACCTGAAAGAGGCACATCGCGTGCACAATAAGCTATACTAGTGAACCGCCTGGGTGCAACACGCTGCATTATAGTCCATGAGCATTCTGTTGCCCATTACTACTACTGTATAAGAACAATAAAAGTTTTTTTTTAAATGAATGTCAAAATGTTTCCAAAAAATCCACTTGTGATATTTTAGCATCTTAGTTACACGATTCGATATTAATATTACTATCAAGTGGTATTAAATCAGTACAACTTTTTTTCACAATAACAGCAAGTGGTGTTCTTCCTACGTATTCTTAGAAAAGGATAAAATAAGTTTTTATGAAGTGCAGTATATAAACTTGATAATGTTAGAACAAGCATGTTAAATCCATAACCCACTGTAAGTCACCAAGTTAAAGTCTTTGATGCATAACATATTTATGAAGAAGGTGGAATACTGTTGTGTACCACTACCATCTACTTTGTGTACATTGGGTATGTATTACGTTATATTACTGTTTTTATTTTCAGCTATCAAAATTAACGTTTAGATTTTCTGTATATGGATGTAAACCTGAAAGAGGCACATCGCGTTCACGAGCTACAGTGTAATAATAAACTCTTTTTTATATATCCAACTGAGCAATCTTGCTTTTATAAAATTTTAATTAGTTTAATGTTCAACATGCTGTAATAAACAGTTTAAAATTAATAAAAGTCTAAACAGTATACAACTTAAATTCTATAATTGGAAAAAGATTTTCCCTCAGTATCGACCTGGATACAAAACCTTGCGTTTTCTGTCAACAACCCAAATTCTCCACACACCACATTAAGCTTTTACTGCTCCACCTGGTGGTTTTACAGTGTAGTGCAGCCCTCTGTAGAGTATTTCTAAAAAGCTGCGGTTTCCCGCAGCCCCTGAACTGCAAACGTCTTTGCATTCTGAATGGCTGGATCTGTATATAGTGACAGGCATATCTTTGTGCAGTATTTTAAAGGCAATAAACCCTAAATTTTAAGGATATAAAGTTTTATCATTGAAATGATGTTTTTTACATGTTTTACTCTCTAAAGCAGATTTTGGACTAACTCTTAGTTATTTTAAAGTTGGTTTATCTTTTATATACCTTATTTTTCAGAAGTAGCCGCAAATAGTATGCTTTCAGTTGCAATCACATTTAAAAAAAAATACTGTCCTTTGTTTATGTAACTCACTGCAAAACTATAGCTCGGCACTGAACTGTACTTAGGCACTTGTCTGTAGTTCAAATGTTACTCAATATCAGACCCCTCTATGCACAGGTAGGCATTTTAAAATGTAACCATTAAAAAAGAACTTTAGACATCTAAAAAGTTTGCTCAATAGAGTGAAAACAGATGTTTTGCGTTGTATTCAGAGTTCCCTTCTTTTTGTTTTACTTTAATCACTATTTGTGATTTCAAGTTTTGATAGCATTTCTGGTAACTCTAAACTGCACAGTCTGCTACTGTTCCCTTCAATATAATTTTATGTCTTTAGTTATTTTGTTCCATTTTGATATATAATAGGTTTCTGTATTTTAGCTCCATTTATTTCTTCTTGCAGCTACATGCTATGCATTAATATATATTTTTTGGTTTATAGGAGATGAGAACCCCAGAGAAAGCAGCCCCTTCATTAACAATGACACTGACAAAGGAAATCTGTACGAGGGAAAGAACATGGCTCTGTTTGAGGTATGCTTAAAGGTTTTTAATGCTTTAAATGATGAATAAGGAGTTACTTAGCAAGAATAATAACTTTCTAAGAGCGAAATGGAATTATTGAGATATATTTACAGCACTACCAGCTTGATGTCCTGTGACATCTGACACAGCAAGGCTCTCCAGTAGCAAACTGGTGCTTCTAATGAAGATTATGATCTTGAGAACACAGGAAACAAGAGTTATGTATGTTAGGAGTTCCTGTGGTCAAATCTATAATTTGGTTGGTTTTAGTTGAATCACCTGAGGAACACTTGATTGAGTACAAGGATGCAAAAGAGTCTGCTAAATTCAGCTGTTTTTCCCATAAAGCAACCATAACAACCCTAGACACCTGTTCTCCAAGATCAAAAGACTGGTAAAGCCAAACTGTCCCATCAGATTACATGCCTTACCCTAACTTTGTAACACGTTCGTAGAGATTTTTAGCTCCAAAATGGAGGACATCCAGTATCACATTCCCTCCACAATGCTTGTTACCCCCACCTCCTTGCATGCCTAGCTTTGCTGGTGCCCTTCTCTGTAGTGGCTCTCTTATCTCTGACACTGACACTGCATGCCTCAGTCAGTTGGTATCTTGTATAAAATCCACAACATGTCTGTTAGATACCATTTCTACTGCTTTATTTAAGTCCTGTTTCTCTACTCCCTGACCTGTTGTCCTTAACATAATAAGAGTCCTTGAACTCTGGTATGTTACCAACAGCCTTTATAACATCTTCAGTTATATTCAGTGAAAAACAAATAGCTCTGGACAACCTAAACAGTTTTCTCCATTTATCTAACCCAGAAGTTCCCAACCTATTACAGCTCGCGGCCCACACGACCAACCATAAAAACAACACCGGTTATCAGAGAAAATATGTACACACTGTAAAAGCTGCAAATATGGCTTTAAAAATACTTTTTATTGATTACAGGAGTCCAGTCAGCACCTCACAAAAAAAAATAATTACAATAAAAATCAGAAAAATATTATAAAAAATAAGGCACCAGTACGGCTCTTCCTTTATTATGATATCTCACGTACTTAACGTTAGCCTTGTCAAAAACAAAACTGAACAGGCAGAATTAAAATGAACTGAAAATTTTTACAGAAGTGCAGGGTAGCCGTCTGTGCAAATCAACTTATGAAGACATTGAGAAACAAAAATATGCACAATAACTAACTAACAGAACAATTATTTTTAAAAAGTAGATGTTAACTCATCCATTACATTATATTCAACACATAGATTTTCCAATGAACACATGAACACACACCCAATAGTGTGCAGCTTGTCTGGCAGTAAACACGCACACCTTCTTTCTGGCTCACTTAGTGAGAGGGCTGGTGCTGTTTGAAAGATACCAAGTGCTGGATGTCGGGCTGCAGAGACATATTTTGTTTGGCTTTAAAGCCACGTTTGATAACATTTCAGAACACACAACACACAGCGGCAGCGACTAGTTTTCAGTACCCACGCACATAAAGCCCAGAGCCAGGTAGTCACTGCTATATTTTCTCTTTTTAGTTTGGATTTGGGGTTATCAGTATAAGACACTGAAGTGGTTTCTTTGCTTGTCACAGCTTTTATTTAAACAATTTTTTATGCATCAGTTGAAGCCTTCTCAAGTCTCTCAAAAAACATAAAAATGTAACATAATTGTAAATGTAACCTATGACTATGACTAAAGTGCCAAAGAGGAATGGCTTAAGCATTCTTAAACCGAACAGAGCCAAAAAAGTTTGGTGCATTTTCACTCTGAACATTTGCCCACCAACTAACACGCAGACACAAACTGAATAACACACCTACGGTATATACAATTTTATCTTGCCTCGTGAAACCAAAAATCCAGACATACTGTATCAACAAAATCCAGACATTTCAACATATTTACTAAAATTATCTATCTCAGCCTACTTCTTGTTTCTTCCTTTTCTCTCTTTCCATTTGTGTTCTTAATGTGATCTTATATTGTCTGTTTCTGTCCTGCTCCTTGGCAATCGTTAATCCACAATTTACCTAGGTATACTAAGGTAAACTTTACAACTGTTTCTGTTCAATTGTACCAAACCTCAGCTTTGAACATCCTCCCTGCTTTGAAGTTAGAAGTGTTTACTCTTCTAAGTTTCATTAACTTTATCTAAAATCTAAGAGACACATCTGTAGCGGCAATGCTTATAAATAACTCTGAATTAAGTGTTGCTGTGCTTTCCTAAATTAGGTCCTATCTCTCTTTCTCATCTCTGTGGTGCAGCCACAGAGAAGCTATTCATGCAGTTCTGATTTAAGGTGTTTTCTCTCAGATAAGGAGCAGCTCCCAAATGTGGATGCGCCCAGCCATGCTTAACTATCATGATCAATGGCCATTCCTGGCGCCTATCTGTCTGTGAGATTCTTGGGAACATCTGGATTGCGGTCCTAGATGTCAGAGGTCATTGTTACTCATCTCCCACCTTGACCAACCAATCCGAAAGGGGTTCTTGACCAAAAATCCAAAAATGCCGAAATGCCCGCTGTACTTTCGACCAATCATCACTTGTTTTGGTTCTGGTTTAAAAGACACTGCACTGCTCAGAAACTTTGCTTCTCCGGCCATTTACACACCCTCAGAGACAATCACATGACGGACAGTGTTGTCTGTATAGGGACTGGAACCTTGTTTCAGCAAAGTGTAGGCCCGAGGAATGCCCCTACGTAAATCACTAGCCAACGCCAATGTGGACGCTTCACTTGATCACTGGAGTATACGTTTCAACTCTTGTCGATAACCTGAATAAGTTTTTATTCACCAGCAGAGCTACACCAGAAGCAAACCAAGTTTCTTCACCCTAAAGAGTGACTCCCTCTGCGCATAGAGACTTTCTACTAGTCAGCCGGACTACTAGTAGATCTGTGAGAGAGACACTGTCGGGCGCGTCCCCACAGCAGAAATCTCTTTCGAACTGCACCTCGTCTGGTTGGCCAGGTGCCTGAGGATACTGGGATGATGCCTATTGAACACCGTGATGATTGATCTTATAATTTTATTGGACGCAGCCACGAGCTGGTCTTTGGTATCCTTGCCGGGAAATACGAATCCATATCTGGATAAGTAAACCCAATGTTCTACATTGCATCCCGAGAATTCAGTTGTTACCTTAACTTAAGTTTGATATCAATTCTTCTGAGTAATGTATTTACTTTTGAGTAGCTAATGTAGACTGATTAATGATAGTATAGCCAAAAAGTATACTGAAGCATTTTCTTTGTTTGTATCTCTCTGTGTTTTGCATCTCTTCGTGATTATATATATTGCACTTTGATAACCCTCTCAGTAAGATCTGCCATCTGTATCCAGGCAGACAGTTATATGAACAATTTATGTATTAATAAATGTATCTCGTGTATTGAATCTGTGTGTGTGTGTCGCTGATCGGTTGATTTTCTAATAGCCATAACGAATCACCTTGTGTACAATAATTCAATTGTCCCAGTACATTCACAAAACCCCTACACTTCTCGGTTACTTCACCTCAGTCAGAGCTGAAATTATATATAATGTATATTCCAACTACCTGTGTGGATCACTTTGCATTTTAGTATCATCAGCAAATCTGCCTAATTAAAGGTTATGCCCTTTAAGTTAACATGCTGTCTTATGTTTAACTAGTTCTTGAATCATCTACATACATTGGGAATAACTTGAGAATCAGGCCTTTATGAGGGACCTTATCACACAGTTTCTTGAAATGTCAATTTTGATTACAACTGCAGTATGAAGAAAGGAATTTGCAGCTTATTACAGAAGAGAATCAGGTTTCACAAGGTTTTAGATGAAAAAAATGAAAACTCTTATAGGTTGGTGGTTGTTTTATTCAAGCACACAAAACCTAAGTGTTGATTTTCTTTCTGTCAACAGGAAGAAATGGACAGTAATCCCATGGTGTCATCACTGCTTAATAAATTGGCCAATTACACCAACCTGACCCAAGGTGTCATTGAACATGAAGAGGCTGAAAATGAAGATGGAGTGAAGAAAAAAGCAGTGAAAGTAAGTAGGCTATATATATAAAAGATATATAAAATTATATATAAAAAGAGTTTATTATTGCATCGTGGCTTGGTGTGACACCGGTGTGCTTCTTTCAGGTTTATTTCCACATTTATATCATTTATATTTTGCCTGTAATTTGTATTTTGCATTTTGATCACAAAAATGTTTCATACATATTGTAGTGTACTAGTTTTAAAACCGCACAGTATCAGACTGTATACACAGTATATTTATATGGTATACGATCACACTACAGTTAATTGACCTGTGTATGCTACTGTTTTTGTATACTGCATCTGTAGATATGACTTGTGTTACAATATGTTCAATTTATTGTTACCCCAAAAACCACATCATACAACAAACGTGTATAATAATGCAATACACGTTTATATTAGGCGATAAACCGTAGAACCACAATTTAAGAACCACCATTGTATTAACAGTTACAACAAATACAAATAACACAAATCCGAAACCTTTAAAAAAAGAAGCTACAGATCAAGCCATTCAAAATGCGCAAGGAATGCAGTCGCAGAGCACATTCCACAAGGAACTGCAAGGTACAGCAAAGTACCGCATGTTTTTTTTTTAAATAGGGTGAAATACCTCATAAAACCGCCAGGTTGAGCTGGGAAAACTTAACGTCTCATGTGCAGCATTTGGGCTCTTGCCAGAAAACACTCGGTTTCAAATCTCGGTCAATGCTTAGGGACAATCTTTTGCCAATAACAGAATTTAAGTTGTATACTTTTTAGATTTTTAATAATTATTAACTGTGTATTAGATCATGTTAAACATTAAACTGATTAAAAAGGTATATTTTATTAAAGCAAGATTAGTCAGTTGGACAGAAGTACACAACCTTCCAACTTCTTCATACTGTAAATATTTTAATTCTGCATACATATTTTATACATCAAAGTCTTGGTTCCTTACAGTGGTTTGTGGTTTTTACGTGCTTGTTCTAACATTATAAAGCTTATATACTGTACTTAATAAGTTATAACATTTTCTAACAATAGGTACTGTAGTAAGAACACCACTTGCTGTTGTTGTAAAAATATAAAAGTTGTACTGATTTAATACCACTTGTTAGTAATATTCATATGGAGTGGTGTAACTAAAATGCTAAAATATCACAAGTGGATATTTTGGAAACATTTTGACGTTCGTTTTTTAAAAATATATTATTGTTTTACAGTGGTAATGGCTGTTGTTTACAACAGTGGCTTTTGTTTACTATGTTATGACAATGTTGTGTGGCTCTGCGGCAATTACTCTATAAACTGAAGAGTTATAGAGGAGACATGTTGTGCATCACCTCTTCTCATGTTTGTAAAAATGTTCCAATTTAATTGCCATATGGAATGTATTATTAATAACATTGTAACAAATTCAGATTATTGGGCTTGTGCCCTCACTGCTCCTGCCCCAGTTCATCCTTCACCACATGGGCTCAAATCCGGGTCTCCAGCATTGCTCAAAAGGGGTATTACCAGCTGAACTAAAAAAGACCTTCTTCAACCCGGGCGGCCAACATCACTGTTATGCGTAGAAGAGTAGATGGCAGTATTGTCACCGCACTGCAACGGTTTGTACAATCTGTATGTCAGCCATTCCTTACAATATTAATAATGACCGTGGACGAGCTCTAAACTGAAGAGAGAAGACACGTTGAGTCTTGTCTTTTCAGCTTGGAACTTTAGTGTATAAAGCTTATACACGGTATAAAGTTATAACGTTTTATTCTTTTCTAAGAGTACATAGTAAGAACACCACTTGCAGTTATTGTAAAAAAATAAAAGGTGTACTGATTTAAGACCACTTGACAGTAATATTAATATGGAATTGTGTAACTCAACAGCTAAAATATCACAAGTGGACTATAAGTGTCCTTGGTATTGGACAATGGACTGTAATTTAGTGTGCTGCACACAGGCATTTCAAAGCCCAATTTAAGAATTACTTTCGGTTTGTTTCTTACATAGCCCAATATATAAAAATTGTTCACTGTTATAGCTTATTGTGAACACGATGTATCTCTTTTAGGTTTACACCCGAATTGGGAAAATTTCAGCAACCAGTAATCAGCCAACAGTTTAACTTTAAATTAAAACTTTAAATCATGTAACACCTTTAACTGAGCCAGTAACTATGTTGTTTTCTTATATTTTAGACCAAAGCGCTCTGAAGATCTCTGAGATCCTGATTTTACTTTGTATTTCCTTCATTTAGCTGAAGCAGAAAAAGAAATTTAATGGAGGGCACTTTTATTAACAGACACTCCGACTCAAACCTGTGTCGTACAGTGATATAGACGTGGGTAATGTCATCCCCATTAAACAATGTGCTTATCGCGCAAATCCCGCTAAACTAGAAACATTGTAGAAGGTGATAAATTGTACATTATTTACTGGAGCACACTTGAGTCCAAAGAAGGAAGTCTGTGAAGCCCCCTTGTTTATTGGTAATGAACATTGATGAGACGTTGCTGATCTGTACAGATTACAGAAAAGTGAACACTGAAACAAACATCATATGTACTGTTTAACCATAGTCAAGGACAGATGCCCTGTTCCCCTTTATAACAGGGTTACTCCCTGGAAATTAGACAAAAGAAGAGTATTATTAGACAATGTTCTGTGACTCTGGGGGAATTTTTCTGTAAACTGGAGAGTTGTAGAGGAGACACGTTGTGTATCACCTTTTTAAACTTGTAAGAACAAGTTAATGTGATATGGAAGATATTATTTATAACCTTTTAAAATGGAAGCTGTTAACTTTACTTCACACCTTCATGTCAAGATCACGGTGCGCCCCGCAGCTCTTTTTTTTGGATTACTCTAGGAATGAGTCCATGAGGCATACCAGCCAAGGTTTCGAAATTAAAAAAAAAATGTGGATAAGAACGTCATGATTGCAAGGAAGTGAAACGTGACAATTTGTTACAATTATGATTAGGAGAAAAAAAGTTATAGTTAACTATAGTTATGGCATGGTGCAAGTGGGAAGCTGATTTTTCTCATTGCATGTCTTTAAAAGCTTAAACTTTAAACACTAGAACCTCAATTATATTTCCAGTTCCAACTGATACAAATCTTAACACAAATCCAAAATATTTTAAAACAGAAACTTTTAAAACAGAAGCTGTTTTTTTGTTAAACGAAAGCTCATGCCCTGAGCAGGATTTGAACCCCTGCAAGTCACGCACCTGCATGTCAGGGTCACAGTGTGCCCAGCAGCTCTTTTGTTTGGATTACACTACAAATCCCTGAGGCGTGCCATCCAAAGTTTCGACATTTAAAAAAAATCAAACCTTTGTTTGGATGAGATAAATGGGTACAGTATCTTTTGAGAAGTCATGTACTGATTGCAAAGAATCTGATTTTGCTAAACCTTAAAGAGCTAATTTTGCTTGAATTTAAAATCTGTCTGCCTGACTGTATTGAAGTTTATTTCATGGAACTGTTCAGATACCTACGGAGAAATCCGATCTAAATTTAAGGTCAGCTTCTTTCACGGTTTTGTTATGCAAAATGTTTTTGCACTTGTGATTATTATTATATTTTTTTTTAATAAAACCACTAACATCGGTGCTACTGCTGTTCTTCGTAACCTCTCAGTAAATTAAAACACGCTGAACTCTGCAACACGCACCCCTTTGAATTTTTAACACCTTTATCACCTTTCTCTGTGGGGTCCAGTCCCCATCCCCCAAGCAAAACTGTCTATTCTACATAACAAACACAGTGGGGTGTAACACTCCTAGCCTTTGTGACAAATAAGATGTATGAAGGTTGTGAAAACAGTGACAAATCACCCCAAATAAAATAAACTTTAAAAATACAAGCAGTTTGAAATTATTAGTTGTTATTAATCAATCATTTAACTTTGAACATGTTGTGATATTTTGAAATACCAAAAAATTAAATATAGTGTCCATAATATTTACTATTTCTGTTTTTTTGTTTAAGGAAACCTCATGCGCTGAACAGGATTCAAACACCTGCTTCTAGCATGCGAGTCACACACCAAAGCCATTATGCCAACGTGCCGTTCAGCATCTTAAGGTGTAGCTGAAAAGGGCAGGCAAAATGTTTCCAAGTAATCACAAGTGAATTAATCAAATTGATGCAGATGTTTACAAAGAAAGTTGACTATGGTAATGGTTTGAGCTATATAAATATATTAAGATACTTAAATGAATATTGGAATTATATTCTTTAGATAGGCGATTCCACATTATATTCCCTATTAAGAGGATTATAAAGAATACGCATTTTTTACTGCGATAATGAGCGCAAGTATTCACAGAAAATATTAAAACATTATAGCTTTTTATAAAGAATATAAACTTAATATAGTCAGAACAAGCATGTCAAAATTTTCCAAAATAACCACAGTAAGTGACCAAGTGAAAGACTTTGATGATGGTTATGAAGAAACTGTATTTTATTATTTAGACTACCACTACCAGCCATATACAGTTTGTATAATATAATTTATATTCCTAAATTAATATTGTTTATGACATTCAGAAACGTTATGCTCCTTTTATTTTTCTGCTCAGCTACCAAAATTTCCCTTTAGTTGCAAAATTCCATATTAAGCAGATTTAAACATGCACAGTAAAGAGATTAAATGAAGCAATCATTTCACTAACAACTAATGCACCACAAGTGCCCTCTGTTGGTCAGCCAATGCAGTAGGCTGTAGATATTTTCCAGTGGTTTTATCACACATTTTGAATGGCTACATCTGTATTAATCCTACTTCACACCTGCATGGCAAGATCATGGTTTGCCCAGCGGGGTTTTGTTTGGATTATACTCTGATTGAATACCTGAGTCATACCATCCAAGGTTTTGAAATTATGTAAAAAATCAAACCTTTTCCTTCTTTTGGATGAGAGAAATGGGTACCTTTCGAGAAGCCATGTACTACTTGCAAAGTAGCTGTTTTTGACAAACTTTAAAGAGCTAATTTACCTTGAA